TCGTACTTATCAACTGGGATAATATTTTGACAATGCACAGTTTCTTTATGTGGCTAGTATATTAATTTTGTAGGTATCACTAAAACATGCATCATATCTATTGCTTGTGAGATTCAATACACAACAATTCTTTAAACTGATCGTTTAATCATATCAAATACGTTAACACCAAATTAGATACATTAAGTACATAACTCAACGAATGCAGCGAGTTTGTCGAAGTTTTTGTATTTCTGATATACATGGGTTGATAGATGCAAATTTACTAAATACATTTCATACAAAGCTATAAATTAACTATAACTGTTGAATAATGTATATCATTTCGATCTTCACTTACCAGTGTCGGCTAAGAAATCTTCAGCGATCGTCGTCAAATTGAGATCTGTCTCGCCAAAAACAATGGGCGAAAGTAGCGTGCTCTTGCAACAGCGTTATAAGTATATTAAACTGAAATAAGAATGCATTGGAACACAAACTCTGAATGTTCACTTGCGATTACACGTATCTGATTCTACAAAAGCAAAATTCGGCCTACAGTTCGAGTGAAGTTTATCTCGCTCAGTTTCACACACATTTGTGATACTGCTGTCATCAGTGCTTAAAAACAATTGGTTTAGAACTAGTGCGCTGTACAGAATCCCTTCAGTTACAGGTGACGAGTTCACGTATCTGATGAAAAATGGAAGTAACAAACCTTCTATTTCAGGTACGACCACATGTATCTTTTCAAGTTAACCTTAGAAAGAAAAAAAGCATAACTGTTTTACAGATTGATATAACTGGAAACGAAAGCACTCGTACAACTCGTTGTATGATTTTGAATAAGTATTACTGGTCGATGACTAAACTGTTTAATGTATCTGACGGCAATATCGGGGACACACAAATAATGCAGGGTTTTTTTTAAACGAAGTTTTCTTATGACTACCTAGTATTTCCTTTATGATTTTGCAAGCACTTGGATATATTTTCAAGTCCAATGAGATAACATATTTACACAAATGGTTGCAATACGTAGAATTGTTATCAAGTACTTGCAGGAGGGAAATATGTGACAAAGGTCTATATGACGATGCGGTGTATCCCAAAATTACTGACACAAACACTGAAGTGACATGAATTTGGATACTGTATGTGCGGACCTCTGTTTTAGTAAGAAGAAAAATACATTTCAATGACAAAATATTTTATAAGACGACAGGGACAACGAAATACGGGAAATGTGCGTTTAGCGGAGAATCAGTGCAAAACACTCGAAAACGCACCGGTACCGTGCCTACCCGCTTACTGAGAACTGCTCCTATTTTGGCAAATAAATCAACCCATGAAGTCAAACCTGGATTTGGAGGGTATACCCGATATAGATAATCTCACAAGCGTACAAACTTTTCAATTTGAAAGTATTTCTAGCAGCAAAACCGACAGGAATATTGACGAAGATTCCAGTAGTTCACAAGAAACAGTGACAATCCTGATCCCGATCCCGACGATGTTACCGCAGACTGGTATGGATATCATATGCCTTTCATATGTTCATGTAAAACCGATTAGAAACCGATTACAGCAATATTTGACCAATCTGTTGAGCCTCTTTTCAGATGTACATGCATGTATGGGAAGGTAATTTATAATACGGAAATAGTAATGAAGCGCAATAGGGTATCATTAGCTTATTCTAAAAACGTACTGGTCATTACGTCATTCTGCACGTAACTGTCGAATCGAATGTCAATTATATATAACTTCCGGTAGAGTACTAGGTTAGATTATGACATGAGGAAGCGATTGTACACCATTAAACTATTTCTCGAGTATATAGAGAATACGTTTATTACCTTACCGTCATAATAAAATATGTGCGTAAGCCCTATAGTTGTTAGAATCGTTAAACAGCGTAGGGATGACAGGTTGTTTTATGGGCGCCGCCATCTATGTTTATGAATCTCTCGCATGGTCACGTAGTCACTGCAGCGGGTGCATTTCGATTGTGACGTCATTGTAATCAAGGATAAAAGGGAGACGCTACTGTCAATCTGCCTGCATTCTCAGGAAGCTTTAAGCAGCTATAATCACCTACACTCAGGAACAAAGTCAAGTTAAGAGGTGAGGATGGCAGAACATTCACCGGGACTTACTATATTACTATATATAATAATTTGTAAATATTAACCAGGACTTATAAGAATTATTAATAATGAATTTGGGGATTTTTGTAATTAAGATTATCAGTCAGTTGGTACTGTACTGTAGGACGTCACGATCGGCAGGTACCGATTTAGAGTATTTTTCTAAGTGTCTTTTTTAAGTGTATATTCTAGATAAGTTACTCTATGAATAAATTATTATTGTTGTTGAAATGCATCTTGTACGTTTTTCCACGAAGTTTCATGTTGGTGTTTCAAACGTTTCGTAGATATGGAAATGGAAGTTTCGCGGGTTCAGAAACCAATGCCAAGTCTAGCCATTAGTAAACGTTAGCTAGTTAATTATACATGCAAGGAATGCCGGGTCAGAGAGGTTAAAAGGCGGTCTTCCCAGGAACTGATCGACCAATCAGGAACAAGAACATTGTATAGTAAACATGGCTGACGTTTTCTATGATCTAGACGCGAAGCGCAGAAGTCTTATACAAGCGAATTGAACTGAACACAATAGTTTACATATCACAAGTTCAATTATCTTAACACGTATTCCCTACATTTATCACTTATCAGCAATATATTTTCTTGGAGTAACAAGCGAACTCGGTAATGTAATGCAAGTTAGAGGGCGGAATTTAGACATGAAATACACAATACCATTTAGAAAGTGGACAAATGTAACATATGTTATATTTGGGGTTACACTTTCTTAGTAAAGTACAGATTCTAGTACTTTTGTTGGGTTGAGGGCCATCCGGGATTCGAACACACACCCTCAGAATCAGGCACCTAATTGCCAGCACACAAAGTCAGACGCCTAGACCGCTCAGCCACCGCGGCTTCCACAAAAATGGAAGTCGGACAACTGGTAGTCTAGACTGCGGACTTTGTGTACTCCTCTAACAAAGCACAAAACAACAACACAAGACCCCACAACACATCACACTTACAAGTTTCAAACAATTACATTAAGTTTGTTGAAGTTCAAGTTCATTCAACCCATATTTTTTCATCATTAGGAACAAGAAGAAATAATTCAGTCATTTAAAATTTGCAATATCAACTGTAATTTTGATATTGAAGATAAGTTTCACTTTGTTTTGATTTATCCTTTATATGTAAGTGTCACACAAAAATATATTAAGCCACATTACTGGAAAAATCCATTTGTGTTTAAATGAATCCAGTTATTTGGTTTAAATAATGTCAAACAGTTGTGTAATCTTAGTAAATATTTGTTTACTGCATGTAATTAATATAAGAAACTCGTATCTAAAATAATTATGTGCATTAGCCACATGAATATGCATATTTACCACCATAAATGACAAACAAGTCGACTGGTATCAATTTATGCTGTATCAATTTATGCTTTATGTAAACGCCGTTGTAAAACTTAAGGTTAATAAAGAATTGAACTGAATTGAGCCTATAACTGATAAGCTATGAGAGTAATATACAGATACATCTAGACAGACAACTAATCATAACACTTGTTGTAAACAAGCAGTGGTCTGTTGAATAACCCTATACACAATAATATAACCTGATTCGTACAAATATGCAAATATAAAAATAGCTGATTTTATCCCCGTTACACAAATTATATGCGAAATGAATACAGTGTGTACACCTACATCACGACAGCAAGGACTTGCGTTTATATTAACTGGACGGACTCACGGAATCCTAAGGAAACATTAACACTGTTATGGTTACCTGTACATGGTTCCCCTTCTAAATGGCGGGCGTGTCGTTTTGGGGAATTAGCAAAGAGTCCGAAGCCAAGAGAAGCTAATTACCATTATATTTACAAGAACATAATAACATGGAGTGGCCACATATAGTCGGTACAACCATCTGGGTTGAGGGCTAGAGCTAGCCTGCGTTGTGAAACCCTATTGCCTAACATTTTGATTTCCAGGCTATTTATCTAAAATTCAAACAATAAAAAGTTTGTGATGATACAAAATGGGGAGTGCGCTATAATATCCTACAATAAGCGAAATGACCAGACAGAGGAGAGTATTTATCCTGCTCATCCTAATTCAACTGGCACTCAACACATCTTCACACATGTACTGGATGCGAGAATGATTATGGTATTACAATAGATGCGCTGTCTCTGTGTTAAATCTTAATGGGCCTAAATTAAAGTGTCTAATATAGGTGATGACATGTTTATAATAATAATAATGGCAAGTTATTAAACAGTTCCGACATAGCTTTTGTCTTCGTAAGAGGTGTGTCTAAGAGTTGAGTCCTTTTTGTAGTCGTAACTTATACCTTTTTAATAGTATGTCTGTGAGATGAGTTTTATTTCTTTTGACTGGAGTCTTTCTCTAAGTTATTACTGATCATGATGCATGCAATTATTATTCTATTTGTATATTTCCCTAATATTTGAATCCTAAAGTATCGCTTCTAGTGGTAATGATGATACTAAGTTTTGTATGAATTATTACTCGATGAAGAAGCTGATGTTTTAATTGTGGATAGAGGCTTTAGAGACTCAATAAGTTTTCTTGAAAATCATGGTTTTCATATAGAAATGCCAGCTTACATGGAAAAGAGGGAAAGACAACACGAAGTAGAAGACGCCAACGTATCAAGATTAATTATGATTACTAAAGTGCGATGGGTTGTCGAATCGTGCAACGGAAGAATGAAACACTGGCGATTTTTGGACAAAGTTGTACCAATACATGTACCTCATATTGGGGATTTTGTGGGTATTGTGTGTGTGTGTGTGTGTGTGTGTGTGTGTGTGTGCGTGCGCGCGCGTGCGAGCTATGCAACAAATACAGGCCCGCACTGTCATCCCAGGATCCAGAACGTGAGAGAGTTACCTCGTTGATGCTGGAGAAGAGTCGGCAGGGCAACACACTCAAAGAACAGTTTGAAAGAGAAAGCCTTCTTAAGAGGAATGTATACATTCCAATAACTGAAGCTGATGATGTAAGCTTTCCAGTACTTTAACTGAATGAACTGATATATCACAATGGGTGTTTATCAGCATATGTTGCAAATCATGTCGATAATGACAGTGCATATCAGCTTTTCCTGTGTAAGGAAGTGGATGATTTAATCTGAACAAGCATTGTCACTAAGGTGACATAATCCCCCGCCGCACATTATCAAATCAAACTTAAAAAGTAATGAAAGTTTAAGATGAAGTTAAATGTCAACAAAAACATGACAAGTCAACCTCTCTTGATATCTTGCTCTTTAGTTGTTCAAACACACAAATATTTTCAAGACTGACTTTGACCTCGACATGAATGTCATAGTGTATGAAATATGCAAAAATGGTACTAAAGAAATTGCTTATTGAAAAACATTCAAGGGAAGTCTTGAAAGTCTATGAAGAAAATCCAGTGAATTCAGGTTAACATGCTGAAATCTTCAAAGTGTCGCAGTCGCCTTGAAAATTATGCGAAGGTCACCAAAATCGACTGGGCCCTGCTTGGTGTTGAATATGAAGAAAATCTAGTGAACGGTTCTTGAGATATCTCGCTGCCAAGAGTAAAACGTTAAAGTTCCCTTGTGACCTTGAAATAAAGGTCAAGGTGACTGGGACCTTTCTTATACTGTGATGAACGTAGGTACCAAATATGAAAAGAATCTAGTCAACGGTTCTTAAGATATTCCAATTCGTACGTACGGACGTACGAATGGAGCCTAATACTGCGCGCGGCGGGGGATAATAAAAATCCAGTCTCGGCATGTCGGCTCACCAGTACTCTTGCACACTTTGTGGATTCAGTTCACTGAGGTTAAGGTGACAGGGTGGTACATACTTGCAATGTGGGTGCTAGTGTTGCTGGATGCTGTGCACACATAGGTAGTGTCATTTGAACCTTGGGTATGACAGACACCAAGACAAGATGCCAGTTTCCAGCAACTATATAGGTTCCACTGCACAAAATCAGAATCACATGCTCCCTGAGCGAGAACCGTGTAAACAACTGAAGAGAAAGAGACTTGTGACAGCTGTGATTGGATGAAATAGTGTAAGATGTTTATGCTTTTTAAACGTACATCCATCCAGTAATTAAAACTGACCACAATTTTAAGTATTTAGTGCTGTCATTTTTATCACCATGACTTATGCTTATTGTGTGTACAGATATTTCCCAGTAGGTGACATTTGGTGCGGAACTGGGGTTGATGTGTTCCCCTTCTTATGCTCGGGCAATGAGCCGGACAATTTGGCCAGAAATTGTGTTTTATTGTAGTTTAAAGGCCTGACTACCCATGTGTACATGGAATGGCTGTTGGCCTGGATAATTTGTAAAAAAAATATAAGGTTACTATAGAAGTCTATGGGAAAACATTTGGTGTTGTGTAACCTCTAGTGATGCACTGATGAATGCTGCAGTTCTCCTTGACAGTGATTCAGAAACTGAGATTGATGAAGAGTGAAAGTGGATGTTTTATATCTTTGCAGTAAAATGAGTTGGGAATAATTACTTTTAACACTTCCCTGATGTAAATGTTAAAATCAAGCTTTACCCAAATATGAGAAGTTTACTCTATATAAGCCTGGTTGTGAATATTGACTTTTAACAATTACTTGGTGTTACAATCAAGCTCTGCTCAAAATGTAATTTCACCCTGAATGGGCCCCTTTGAGGTCACGATCAGTGATTTTTAGTGCGACATTACTAGTTATTGTAATGGCATGTTGTGAATGAGATGTTTAGTGTATATTTACAGGAATGGTTGTGAGTAGTGACTTTTAACACTTACTGAGTGTGAAAATAAAGCTCCGTCCAAAATGTAATTTCACCCAAAACGGGCCCATTTCAGATCAATAGCTGTGAATTTTAGTGCGACATGATTAGTTATAATAAGTAGATGTTGTAAAACTGGCCTTAAGTTTATATTTGCTAAGAACGTTGTAGATAATCATTTTAGGATAAACAATTGCTAAATAATTGAATTTCTGTCCACAATTGGGCCCCTTGAAGTTAAAGCCTTATTATTGATATTGTCATGTTTTTTCATCATGAATACCTGTTGGAAAACTGATGTAATTTGTATGATAATAAAATGATAGTTGTAAATTAATCATTTTGGCACACTGATAATTCAATCTTATTTTTCATACAACCCATTTTTGAAATTACGGTCTCAGATCATTTACAAAAATGGCTTTTTTATCGTGTCTAAACAAATAAGATGTGTTTAGCCAATTCTGTTTGTGGGCCCTAAAAGCACTCTCATCACACCTTTTCCTTTTGTAAATGATATTTGATATAAGATACTTTACAAGTACCTTTAACAATTTAATTATGCCACATTTTCATTTTGAGTTAGTATCTGCTTATACATGTATACACCTTACCTCAAATAACAGGGGTTATGTTGTCATTCAGATATTTACGGTGAATTGTTGTTTACAATATGCGTTTCACAAAACCCCATTTCCTCAAGTCACATACAACTATCAATCTTATTACAATACCAAAACATCAAGAACACAGTTATGCTGTTTATTGAGCACAAATTAATCATGTAGATACCTGCAACGATACAAAACGAAATCCCAACACTTTTTCTTTTGTATATATCACTTAAATGAAAATCCAATACAATTATGCAACTTCTAATACAAATTTTTTTTTTGCTCTGCTCAACTACCAGTACATGATCGTATTAACTACCTTTAGAGCGTATTTAGTAACGTTACAGACACTTTTGAGGTACTTATCACAAAAGAAAACTGGTAAATGGTTAAAGGATTACTAAACTACTCAAGGTTTCTACATTGATGTAAATATGTTTATAAAGCAGAATAATAGCTCATGGAAATGCAAAATTTACAGCACGAAACATTCCTGCCCCAGTGTTACCACTTCACTTCACATTTGTATATTAAAGTAACAGATATAACACATTTCTATCTTTAAAAACTAGCAACGGAATCGCTTATCTTTCAGACTATACTGAAAATCAACATATCTAACGCTTGCATAATATAATTACCAAACTGAAATGTCGACACTGCGGTCTAAAAAAAATAAACTTCATCGAGGAAATGGTAGTTGCAAGGGTGCAAATCCTGTTTATCAAGTACGGGGTTTCCTCACTGTCCCACATTTAAACAAAATCAGAAACTAATGAATTACAGTATAAACAAGAATTTAGTCAATTAAGAAATAAATATAATACATACAAATCCTTATTTACAGATGGGTCCAAAGATGGTGGCGCAGTAGCTTGTGTCACTGTCATTGGCTCCAAAACAATATCTTCTAGATTGCCTGATAACAGCTCTATATCCACAGCAGAAGCTAACGCAATATTAACAGCCTTAAAATATATTAATAAACACCCTAAATATAAACAATACATAATCTTTTCGATTCTCTTTCTTACCTTCAGGCTATCAAAAATCTTTCTTCCAAACATCCACTTTTAATCGAAATTATTGAATTATATAATGATCTTGCAACTGGCCAATACGACATCGCGTCTTCTGTTGGTTACCCAGCCACGTTGGCATTTCCCGGAACACAATGGCCGATTTTGCTGTCAAAGCAGCACTCAACAAATCTGTGACACCACTTCTTATTCCACACTCTGATTACAAAGCTAGCATTAGAACTTACATCCGTGATCTGATGCAGAAGAAGTGGGACACCCAAGTAGGTATCAATAAATTACATGCAATAAAACCCTATATCGGTTACACCTACTTGGGTTGTCAGTCCAGATTTGAAGAGGTCATCCTACCACGATGTCGTATTGGACACACAAGATATAAACATGAGTACCTATTAAAAGGTGAGGATCCTCCGTTTTGTATCCCTTGTGATGAAAGAATCACGGTCAAGCATATCTTTCTTGACTGTGTTGAATATTCCATCACAAGGGATATCTATTTCAAATCACGAACTATGAAGGATCTTTTTAGTAATATAAGTTCTCATTTAATTATTGCATTTTAAAAAGAATTAGATTTGTTAACTGATTTGTAAATAGATAAATATTTTATTATTGAAAGTTTGAATTAATAACTCAGATTGTTAGTGGCTGTGTCCTCAAGGGGGGTTAAAGTACTGTAAAATGATTGTCCTCCTGAGAGGATACATAAGTCCCAAAACATCCAAAGTAAATTTAAACTCTCCCCTTTTTTAATCGTAGAATATATTTTCGTTTAATTTGTGGTTAGAGTATCTAAAATTGGTGTAAATCCAGCTACGGTCCATGCAGGAAGCAAATGTACTGTAAGTCCCCATGGTCCCTAGTATGGTGATCTACCTTCAGTTGTTGGCAAAATATAGCCTGTATTTATATTGTATTGTCATATTTAATAGATTAAACTGTTTTAAGATTTAATTGCTAGTTTTAAATTCGAATCTGTGATAATCTAGTTATTTTACTGTCCTTAGTTGACAGGTTTTTACAATTTATCATTAATTACTATGTCTAAAATTGTTCTCTTCACGATATGGCTGAAATATTGCCGATGTGACGATAAATTTTAACTCACTCACTCATTCCTCACTGTCATTGCTTGCAAACAGGAAGTAGAATTAGCAGACGGTCCAGGAAGTAATCATTTTTGCAAAAAAAATTATGTCACGATAGTGACATCAAACCGTATGACAAAGTTTGACCTTTTTTTGCAAAATGTTTTTCCATACAAACCACACCAAGCATGTAGGTGTAACATCATTAATTATGATGTATTAAAACGTTTCTTTTGAAAACATGGAAAAGATCCAAAAAAATTAAACTGCACTGAAGTTGCGACACATAAAATTCCGGTAAAATTGGGGGGTTAAATATAAAAAAGATCCTAATGTTGTTACTGTAAAATGTAGAATAAACGGAGAAAAATCGGTTTCATTATAAAAATACTGATTTAGTTTGTCGCGTATAAACATAACATAAAATATGCAGGAATTTGTGGACGGGTATGTGTTGTCTAAAACCCCAAAGCTTTTGTTTCACATTATTCTGACAATGTAGGATTGTTCTCACATTCTGTTCCTTTTCTTCCTTGCCTTGAAGGAGATCTTTCAGTCCACCCGCAATGGGTCAGTGTGTTTCATCGGTGGGCCATGTCTCTTCACAGAAGGGATGGTGTAATCCTGCACGAAACGGAAGTGTTGATGGTCCACGCGGGTTCCTATAGTAAGGTGGCCTGATTTTCGTCGCTAGCGATCCTCTGGACTCCTTTTGTCACAGGGGTTCGAATCAGTGGACCCAAAAAAGTTAACAATAAAAATCTAGATTTTTTTGTTTTTATATGTTATGAGTAACTTATATTTCAAATTTGAACGAAATCGGTGATTAAATGGATTTTTTAGAAAATTCTCCCGCTACACTCATTACATAAAATACACAAGGGGTGACACTCGCGATGCTAAAAGCCTGATCGAAAACCGGACACCCCGACTATTTTACCGCGCGTGCAATCAAACCTTACGTCTTTCTCAAAACAATGTGTTGAGCTTGTAGATTATTCTTTTGGCCTTCTGCTCATCGTATTCAGTTTGTCTAACTGCATTTCCTATTTGACCACTGACCCTCGCATTAGCACTACCCTCCGTTTTGAACAAACGCCTGGCCGCCCTTCTGTAAACATCGACCCTGTCCGAAAATCTCGGAATGACTCGGAACACAAAACGGCTCTCATTGGTCAATTTCCACGTGTGCGATGATTGCGGACTATTGTTTTGACAGTTGATATGTTTGGAAAACTCAAACATTGGTTAAGAAATTCTTTCATGGTGAGTAAAATTATTCTAGGCGTTAAATGCAATAAAATAGTGCACATAGTGCATACAGCATGAAAATCTAACAACCTTATAGAGGGGTTTCAGAGTTATCCCGTGATTCCG